TCGTGTAGCATATAAGAAGAAGTGTTTTGATCGATCTTTGTCGTCGTGAAAACCCAAAGGACCCACACCGCACCGACGACTGATCAATCTAAAAATAAGCTCTTAAGGCTGTTCTGTTCCAATTCCATTGTCCTATCTTCTCTGGACCCCTTTGGATTTTGCATGCATCTCCTAGTGAACCCCACCATGTTTTACCTCTTGTCATTTCTTACGTTATGTCAATTGCTCTCCTTACATATATACATATTCTTCTTCTTCTAACACTCGCATCTCTAAACTCTAATCTATGTTCTTGAGTTTATTACATCTAGTTTTTGTTTTGCTCTCACCATGCATGCAAGCCTTCCATGTATCTGAAAAGTTTAGTTAGAGTGATAATCCGATTGGTAATTGGTAACGGTATGACCCGTATGAGTAAACCCTCTAGTGAGTTAAATAAAATAGTAAAAAATAGTTAGAAGGGTCGGTAAAAAGATTTGAGATATTTTATGATTATTATATGGTTTTGTACCAATATTTATAAAACATGTAAGAATCCACTATTTTGGACGTCTATAGTGATCAATCATTACTAATCATAATATAATTATATTCTACTCCATTAATCAAAGAAAACATATTAACAAGTCTTTTAAAAGAACAAAGAGTGTATTTAATAAAATATATAATGATCAATATTAAAGCAAAAATAAAATGCTATATATTAGTGCTAATCCTGCTATTATTAATCGTAATCCTACTATTATTAGTCCTACTTTAACTTATAAAAATGGTAACAAAATGTTTAGATCATGTGTTATGAGTGATAAAATTACCCATCCACATACACACCATTACACCAACCAAAAGTCTAAATCAATCATCAAATGAAGCAATCAAGCAAAAAACAAAAGAAGAAAAAAAAACATAATGATGGAATTGTATTTTTCCCTTATCCACGCATAGAGATTCCTTTGCATTATTATTTGCACGTATATACAAACATCATATCATAATACTATGAGATTCTTTTCTTCGCACAAGCTACTTCCCCACTTCAGAGAACACTGAGTGGCCCATTCTTTTTATTTTATTTTTTTCCCAAAATTCCCCAAATATCATCACTCAAGTTTTGTTTATTCTAAACATTATACTGTTTTCTTTGACTAAAAGAGCAAAAAAATTTGATTACAATCAAATGTTTTGACCAGTCAAAAGAAACATGAGTTGGCCCATTTCCCCTGACTTCTCAATAATCTTCCAAATGCATCCCAATGTGATCAGTACCTTTCTTTATCATCATTATCATCCTAATATTTTCGTAACTATCTTCTCATAAATTTTAAACTTTACCACTAAAAACGCATTTCTTGTAAATAAAGATAGCCGACAAAAGTAAAAATGTACATTCAAGATAGATGCCTTTGTACCTTAGATCAATATGGAATTTTGAATAGTAGAAAGCAAATCACGGTTACAAATTCCCACTATGCTTTTGTTTTTCGTTGGTATGGTGATTCTAGTATATATAAAACATTTATGAGAAAGATGATTCCCACATTTATTAGAAAATCTTGATATTCGAAAAAGTGATATATGAATGTTCCTAAAGACGATTCAAACAACATTTACATGCCATTTAAATTTAAGACTAAACTAGAAATACAAACTCGTGAATTTGATGTGAAATTGAAAGTTTCGTATTGATATGTCTTCTAGACACATCAACTTTGTTTTGTTTTTCGTTGGTATGGTGATTCTAGTATGTTTGAGAAAGACGATTCCCACGTTTATTAGAAAACTTTGATATTCGAAAAAGTAATATATGAATGTTTTTTTCTTTTTTTTGGTTAAAGTAATATATGAATGTTCTTAAAGACGATCCAAACAACTTTTGCATGCGATTTTAATTCTTTTTTTAAAAACCTATGATATTACTATAAATTTGCGAAATTAGAATACAAACTCGTGAATTTGATGTGGAACGAAAGTTTCGTATTATGTCTTCTACTTTGTTTTATAGGTTCATTAACTACGATGGAACATGAGTATCAAAACAAATCTAATAGAATATACACATATTGTATTTGAATGGTGGAAGCAAGAAAATATATAGTGTACACAGAATAAATATGATTTAGGTGGATCAGGAGAAGAAAATGTGGTTAATAATATTACACAGAATAAATATGATTAGCAGAATTAAATAAGTCGTAATTTGTGTGTTTAAAATATGTTTGAACTATAAAATAAATCTACCGTGGATAATACAAAATAAAGTAAAATAATTTATAAATAATGGTTGTGACATGTCCATCTATCAACTATATAAGAAGTTAAAAAAAAAAAAAAAAAAAAACCAAATCAAACTTTCACAAATTCAGAAAATTGAAAACTATGTCTAGAAAAGATTATGGTCATGATGTTTCAAATTCGAAAAAAGAAAGAAGCATATATCATCATCATCATCATCATCATCATCATCATCATCATCTCTCAACTGACAAATACAATCCCACTTCACATGGTTACGAATTGAGTTAGTTGCGGCTTCATCGTTTGCTGAAGTCACTCTGAACTCCCCAACATGATGCTTGTCGAATTGTATCTATCCAAATTGATGTCAGAGTATGCAAATATTCTCTCTACTCTTGTTACTAACTGATATGATAATAAGAGTTGTCTCATTGGAAGTTATCAATAATTTTTAATATTCTGACATTTAGGAATTTCTGTTCGTTGGCTTTGGCATTTCTTGTCAATTCTTTATATTTTTCTAATCAGAATTCCAAATTTTTCTTTTGTAAACAAAATAATAGGGTTTTGTACTTTTTTTATGTCAGCAATAAAGGTTCGTAGAAATTGACACCTCATGTTTTTTATATGAATGATAATTCAGAAATGTATATATGTATTGATTAAAAGATGTGGCTAATACCTATCTCATGTCACCACTTTGGATTGATAGAATTATTATGCTCATCGCAGAGCACATGCAAGCCACTAATCCAATGTGTTTAGATCAACTAGTTGTCTATCTCTAAAAAGAGAAACATCTTTATATTATTACAAACCTAAACTTCACTCGTCTCTAGTTTATCCAATTAACAATTTTTTTTAGCACTACGTGATCATAGAGCACAATATATTCATTCAATCATTGATAGAACAAAAATTTACGGAGCTCAAACATAAACTAAATCAAATGAGACCTTAGTAAATGATGAAACATATAAGAATCAATGTATTTTTATGGTGGAGTACTTCTAAGAAAACAAAAGATCATAAATAACGAGACCACTAAGTCATGTTACGTTATACCATATACATGCACTAATTGTTTGTATATATGACGTTAGATAAACTATAACAGCAAAAATAAAAGAAAAAGACATAAAACAAGATTACAAAAAAGAATGAATCAATCAACATCCTCAGTGTTGTGTGTCCTCTATCTAATTGACCACCAACGAGGACCGTATAATTTGAACAGCCACGCCGCATCCGATTCCTTTTACCTTTGATAGACATTTGTATTAATAGCAAATCTAGAAATTTCAAAGCTTCCGTCGATCCATACATAAAATCTTGCTAACTAATCACCCAAAATCAAATGTAAAATATTCTAAAATAAAAACCACTCCATAAAATGTTTTCAAATAACCAATTTCTTTATATTACCACTAAGCTATACCACTTTATTTTCGTAAGACAATTTGTATATATGTTTCTTTTCGTATTTTAATATGTTAAGCGTTTTTATACCAACATTATTGGGAGTATCTTATTGGACATTTTTAGACCAACTAAGATACCTCGATTTTTGCAAAAAAAGTGTCTTATATATTTTCTTTGCAAAAATCGAGGTATTTTAGTCCCCTAATATATCCCCAATAATGTTGTCTTTACTAGCAATGGTTTGGTGTAGTTTCCTTCCTTGTACATTTTCGTACGCGTATAGAGAATAAATGTATAAACATTTAGACAAACATGACGCGTAATGGTGTGGAATTTGAAATGAGAATGGGGTTTGGAGTACTTGGGGTTGGTTGATGGTGATGGTGGCTATTGGTGTGGCAGGGTCCACATGTATATATAGTTGAACCCACGCCAGATTCGGTCTTCTTGACTTGTGTGTGTGTGTACATTATATACGTATGTGTACGTACGATCCACCCAAATATATATAACTTTAGTTTTATTAATCAACACCATTCATTTTTCATTTTAAATTAGATTGGCTATCTTGTGTTAAGTTTTAGAAGCAAAAGAATGTTCAATTAAATTATTTTGTATGAATTTTACTTAGAAAGGTTGCGAATTCGCGTATCTATATCAAATTCGGTTTAAATTGATATTCCTCGATGTTTAAATTGTGTGAAATTTGAAGGAAAAGAATGTTCGATTAACAACTATCTTGTATGATTTTTTTCCCCTAGTTGAATGTTGCTTTTTGGTTCTCATATATATGATATTTTCTTTTGTCATTTAGTCTTGAGACTTCAATCCATTCGATTAATATTCTTTTCAGATATTTGTAGTTTTGTACCATCACTATTGTCTACGTCCTTTTTTTCTTTTTTTCTTTTCTAGTTTCTACTACTTCTCTTTTTTTTTTTGGGGGTTTTATAAATAGAATTACATAAACTAGACATAATAGGAGTTTTCTTTTCTAAGTTTCTAATTAACATCTTAGAAAAAAAAAAAATAAGAAGACTCCTCTTTATGTAATTCTATTTATAAGATGTAACAAAGTTCAAATTCTAAGTTTGCACTTTTCACCTCAAAAAGAAAGATTTATCAACGTATATTGTTGAAAGACTTTTGCAAAACACTTACATGTGAACAGTATCAATAATAAAAAACAAGAACAAGTAGCTACAAAAGAAAAGAAGTAAAATAATAATCAATTTGATTTATGAAAAAGAAACATATATTTTAAAGGACACACTTTATCTATTTTTTGCTTTATATATTAAGAATCGTGCTCTTCTCCTCTATTCATATCTTGCTCACCACTTTTCTCCAAAACCCCCTAAATCTCTCTTTCTTTTCTCCTCTGGTTCCTTTGTTCTTTGGAGTTTGAGCAAAAACACCAACCATAGTTGCTAATTACTACTATAGAACTAAGTAATCGTTGCTTTTATCCTTTGTTGCATGGATGGATCCTCAACAGGTAATTCATTGTTCTATAATTTGTAAAACACTTCTGTTTTGTTTTGATTTTTTTTTTTTACAATTTTGATCTCTCTTAGTTCTTCCATGTATCGAAGTAAGAAAAAAAAAAACTTAAAATCTTTGGGAATTTTTAAAAATTTTGGTAATAAGAAACATAAAGATTCATCAAAAACTATGTCATTTACTAATTTAATGATGTATTAACTTGATTACCCTAAGCTTATCTCAAAACCCATTAAATAAAAATGTCTTCTTGTTGATTCTTATAGACAAGATGATTTATACAAAGAATTGTTGTCGGTAAAAAGAATCGTCGCCACGTACGACTAATCCGTTATATAAAGTAAACCATCATGATTTCACATTCGTCAGCATAATTTAATGAAACTTTTTTTTTTGGATGTGTTAGGAAATCTCAAACGAGACTTTGGAAACCATTTTGGTAAGCTCAACAAAAGGAAGCAATAACAACATCAAGAAAATGGAAGAAGAGATGAAGAAGAAAGGGTCAAGAGGAGAATTAGGAGGTGAAGCTCAAAACTGTCCAAGATGTGAATCTCCAAACACAAAGTTTTGTTACTACAACAACTATAGTCTCTCTCAACCTCGTTACTTCTGCAAATCTTGTCGGAGATATTGGACTAAAGGTGGTACTCTCCGTAACGTCCCCGTCGGTGGTGGCTGCCGTAGAAACAAACGATCCTCATCTTTCTCCAAGAACAACAATAATAACAAGTCTATTAATTTCCATAATGATCCTCTTCATCAGAACCCTTTGATCACGGGAATGGCACCATCATCTTTTGGTTACGACTCCATTGATCTCAACCTCGCTTTCGCTTCTCTTCAAAAGCATCATTCATCCTCTCAGGCTAGTACTACTACTTCTTTTGGTTTTGGAGGTGATCTTTCTATTTATGGAAACTCAGGGAATGATGTAATCTTTGGAGGACAAAACGGTCATTTTAACAACAGCTTGTGTTATGGGTTTATGTCCGGAAATGGTAACAACAACCATCAAAGTGATATCAAGATGGCTTCTACATTGGGGATTTCATTGGAAGGAAACGAGAGAAAGCAAGAGAATGTTAACAATATCTCAGAGAATCCTAGCAAGGTCTTATGGGGATTCCCATGGCAGATGACCGGAGATTCCGCCGGAGTTGTACCGGAGATTGATCCCGGAAGGGAAAGCTGGAATGGGTTGGCTTCATCTTGGAATAGTAATGGTTTACTCAACACTCCTTTGGTCTAAGATAAGATCGTTACTAAATAAAATAATAATAATAATATTACTCTATATTAAAGTTTATGTCATCACATGTTTGTATACCACTTTCACTAATATGGGGGATGTTTGGTTTTTTTCTTTATAATTTCTAGGGTTTCTATCTTTTTTTTAGTTTCCCAATTTTCTTGGTTGAGACAAAAGACCTAAGACATTTCTCTTCTTTTCAAAACTTCTTTGGTGTTTTAATTTGTAATCTAATGGTGGATGGGTTGGTTAATTATTTGTTACCATGTAATAGATATTCTCTTGTTCTCCTTATGCGTTTTCTTTGTTACCATATCATATCAACCCTTGATATATGAATTAGGGTTGGGACATATATCAATTTGGCATGTAGTTCGTACTGAAAATTATTGTCGATTAGGTTATAACATGTTGTCCATAAAACATTCCACTGGCTCTTGTCAGGAAGCAAAAGAAAATAAAGACATTGGGTTTTGAAATGTGTGAGTGGTGAGTTTCGAGATATTCTGTCATGATTGCTTCATATTTTCCAGGTAGATATTTGGACACTACTATACTATATCGGCAAAATACTTCAATAATTTATTGTTAATTGATTTGAATATAATTGGCTGATGATACGGCCATATTGGAGGATTTTTTTTTTTTATAATGTTTTCTTAAAAAAATCTCTTGAACAGAATCAAATCTAACACAGAGATTTGAGCGTGACTACCTATGGCACTAAAATTTAACAAGTCTACATAGATGTAGTAAATAACATTTTCCTAGTTTGAAATTTATATATCACATTCTCTGTAGGGTCTTCTAATTTTTAAAGAATACAAAATGTAACTGTTGTAGTAGTATTATAATTTCTGAGTTTGAAATTAGGTAATATGATGGAAATTTTTGGATTTATAGGGTTGTTGCCTACCGACAAAAGAGTCAAAATTGGTACGAGGCATGGAGCCGTATGTTTTGTTTTCGTAAAATTTTAGTGGCCAAATTCGAGTTTTGTCAAACAAATTTTAAAAATATGTTTGGATATGATATAACATGAGTTACGTTACGTTGGTATATAGTACAAACATTAAACATGTATAGCACAACCGAATTATAAAGTAGTTTATGATACCATTAGCAACAATACAAACAATTCGAAATGTTAATTATTGTGGACAATTGTGTTTTTTTTTTTTTTTTGTTTCAGAGAATCACGAGACTTTGAGATTTATAAATTGTTATTTCACTTTAATGGATGTTTAAACTTTAAAGATTTGTTAACAAGGTTAAATATGTTTGGTTGGCTAACATCGAGAAAAAGGCTTGGTCTAGAAAACGATTTGTTAAATTTGTTCCGTTAATAGTTTTTTGTTTTATTTTCAATATTTTCTTTTTTGACTTCATAGATAAATGCCCAAAACAAGTGTTGATCCACTAACGTAATTTAATAAAGCCCAGTATTTCATACACGAGGTCCACAATGTTGAAATTTTAAAATCTCAAATTACTTTTTTTTTCAATTCTTAATTTATTAATTACTAGTTGTTGATCCGCGCTAAACGTATAAAGTTTATAAATTTTTTTACAGATTTTGATCTTTTAATTTTTTTGGCAATGTTTGTTTTGTTGGTTTTTTATTTCTATCATTTTTGTTATTCTATTTTTCACATAGGTAGTTTTTAAAAAAAATTATATTAATTTAGTATTTGAAATGATTATTGGTATTTGCATAGTATCAAATTTTGAGTATTAAAAACTGTCAGAATAAATGAACAAATGAATTTTCAAAGAGTTTAATTTATTCATGTGCATTATTATCTTTTCAAATTTTAGTAATTTATTTTAAACACGTTTGACTACAATTCTTTCGCGATTATCTACTATGAATTCATTGTCTTTCCACGACTACTTTCTTTTGGCTCAAATATAACATATATTAAACTATATTGATTTTCAAAATATATTATAACTATTTTATCTTTTTTTTTTGGGCAAACAAAGATTGCATTCACTTAAACCTCAGCAGAGGGGAGTTCATACAAAGCATGAGCTGATGAAATACAAAAGACATAAACAAAGAGATAAAGATAAAGGCTTAAAGATTTATCCGAGGGAAAGCTCCAAAAGTTTGAAAAGCTTGCAACCAAATGAATAACTCTAATCAAGACCATGATGAATTCCACATTGAAGACAAACTTCAGGATATCCAAGACCAACTCGTGGTCACAAACAGCTCGTACGAATAGCGCATTGGAGCTTTCAATAAAACGCTCCACCATAGAGGAAGGCGGAGACATTCCAGGAGAGGTTTGCTTTAAAGCATGGGAAAAAGGCTTGGGTTCTTCCTGAAGATATTCTCGATTTACATTATACACCCGGAAGATTAACCCTCGACTGAGTTCTGAGAACATAGAGGCGAACATAAAAGCTTGGAGAAGCTTCGGTAACCCCTTTTCTATGGAAAGAGGGATCATAATGCCGTTCTTCGTCCTGCTTTTAGAGGTTTGGAAAATATCTTTGAAACCATTGAAATTCACATGATTGAGCTCGGTATTCAGCGAAAGCGGGTATAGAAAGTTGATGAAGCTTCGGTAATCACCGCTCCATAGAGCCGGGATCATAATGCCGTTCTTCTTACAACTCTTGAGAACTTGGCAAAAATTAGGAAAGGGGGCTTTTGGTAAAGTAATGAGAACCCCACAGACATCTCTATCAACCAGGATTCGTGAAAGATAATGGTGAATCCAACTTAAATTCATCGTTACCGTGATAGGAAAGCGTCTTCTACCAACCTTAGACAATATTGACTTCATTAAACGTGAATTTGCCAAAATAAAAGAGGAAACAGACCTGGGCCTTAGAAGAGTTTGGAATACAGTCTTCATGGGCTTTGATAGGTTTTCAAATGGGCTGAAAGGGGGGCAGACTTTGTTTGGGCTCGGCCCATAATAGGCTACAAAGAACAGCATTAGGTTAAGGACGTTGTTGCCTCTCTTCATCACCGACGGCGGCGGCAGACCGGAGGTGAGCTTTTCCAGTACACTTGCTATCAGATCTGTCATAAAAGATGGACGCTCGGTTGCTTCCGGGCGTCAACGCAGAGCTCCGGGCCTGCCGCAGCCAAGTTGAGCACTTGGTGGGGGAAGCGTTCTCCCTTTGATAGGCGACGTGAGATGCAAAAGTTGACTTTAAAAGGAGTGTGTGGAAGACACAGGCGGCGGGAAGCGTAGAACCGACTGGGAGATGAAAGCATGGACTACATCTAGATTTCGACATGGAAAGGTTTGTAAAAAGGGTTCGGGGAAAAGTGGAAAAAATTAACAAGAGCAAAAAAAGGGTTAAAAGAGCTAAAAGATTACAGAGAGGACTAAGAAAGCTGCAGAGAAAACGGAGTAGAGGAAGTTTATCCGGACGCCGGCGAGCTACAGCTCCACCGGCGCCGGAGGTGGGAAGTCGGAGTGATGCTTCGATAATATCGCCTAGGAGCTTTTTGCCGATTTTCAAAATTCTCTATATCATATTTCCTGTTAGAAAATTATAACTATTTTATCTTTAATTACTATCTTTCAATAGTCAAATTTGGATTAAAAGCAATTGATTCAATTTATGAAATATCAAATTTGTTTTTTTTCTGTTATATTCAATGTTCAATTATTATATTTACTATTAAGAAACAATTTTTTCATTGAATTTAATAAATAGGAATTAACTTTACATATTTAAGAAGCATCCACTTTGACTAGTATAATTTTTTAAGATCTTATCGCTTTTATCCAAGCTCTATTTAAATGAATTCCCATGCGCATTTTTATAACAAATCCAACAACAATCATATTCTGAAAGAGATATTAAATCAAAAAGTGACCATGGCAAAGGTAAAACTTGCATGGGTAGAAAATAACAAGGCAAGAGCAATGATATTTAAGAGAAAGAGCGAAGGGCTACTAAAACAGGTAAAAGAGTTAACCATATTGTGTGATATATGGGCTTGTTTGATCATTTTCAGCCCTTACGAAGCTGAACCAGTGGTGTGGCCATGTGTTAAGACGGTTCGTGGCCTCTTAAAAAATTTCTTTGCAAAGCCGCTGCTCGAGCAGAAGAAGAAACAGACATGTCTCAAATCATATTTGAAGGAGAAGATAAAGACGATTCATAAAAATTTGATGAAGAGTCAGCAGAAGAATAAGGAATATGTCACTGAACAGTTGATGATACAACTACATCATGGTCGTAGAATCAGTGATCTGAACTTGAGTGAGATCTATCAATTACTAGCTTTCTCAAAAGATAAAATCATACTTGGTAGGCTAGAGCTAGATTTCATGGAGTTTGCCCCTCTTCGTGATCCACCAGTTCTTCTATTTGAGGTGCCAGACGAGCAATTGATGATCATCACCAACGATGCGATTGTATAAGGCGACAAAACCTATTGTGAAAATAAAAAACTCAAAATTTGGAATGAAAATAAAAAAAATCGAAATTTGGAATTAAAATAACAAATAACATTCTTTGTTATTTTGAAAATGTTTTTTTCTTTTCATTTTTTTGTCATTTTGTATGTCGAATTCATAAAACTATCATATAAAAACTTTGATTGGTATTATATTCTAAGTTTTGTGTGGTTTATATTTTTTATTGTGTTTCTTTTTCTATTTTAGCAATTATGGAATTTAAAATTTCTCTTAATTTTTATATTTTTGTTTCTTTTGTTTTAGGAATAAAAGATTAAAGTTACAAATATACCCTTTCTTGATATATCAATTAACTTAAAATTTAATAAAACTACGTAACAAACCATGTCATGTGCAACTAAATCTTATTATGTTTAATTTTATGAATATTTTTTTCTAAAAGAGGAAATAATTTAAATTTTTATATTTTCAATAATTATAATTATGTTAAAAACATAATGATTGCTTTTGGTTTTATAAATAAAATATCTACTCTGTTTAGTTTTTTTTTTTTTAAAGCAAAGTACAAAAGTCAAAACGTAATTTATTTTGAGAAATTTTACTAATGCCCTTTCCATGATACCTTTTAGCAAAAATATCATTTTTGGATCATTTTCCTTTTTACTCTCTCTTAATTTTTAATGACAATTTTACATCTACTTGAAAATTAATTAAGTCAGCAAAATAAAAAATTAAATTACTCCCGCTAAAATTTTTCCCTACAAAACATTTCCGATAAAAAATTTCTCGCTAAAACATTTCCGCGAAAATTTTTTTCGCAAAAAAATTTCCATCAAACAAATTTTCCCGCCAAAAAATTGTCTGACAACATTTTTTCCCGCCAATTTTTTTTTGCGTGAGCACTGTTCTCAGAATTGAAAAATTTACAAGGTTTTTTAAAAGGCTTTTAAAAAGATTTACAAGTACTATTAGTTGTTTTTGAGTACCATGAAACTCATCATCTACATTATTTCATATGTATCTCTTATGTCAAAACCGCTTATTCAACATCATATTCTTCGGGAAAAAACACATTTGGACGACATTCTTTACGGAAATAGTTACTTAAACAACAAGTACTGATTATAGATGACAAATATTTATTTGAAGATGCCAAAATTCTCTCTTTTATATTTTGCAATTTAGAATGACGATAGTTGAACAACTATAACGCCTTGACCGTCACTTTTCTTAGTGGGTCCCATATACATCTACGTCCAAGAGGTTACAAAAACTTGTTTATCGACGCTACAATCACCATATCAGATTGTTTTACCTATTTTCTGTTGATTGATGTAATTTACTTCAATTTCAAAACATGAATTGATAATGTTTTTAACTAGAGATTTAATATAGGATTCAAGGATCCTTGAAAAGACCCGGCCAGTTTTGTTTTTTTTTATCATGCAAAGTGTATTAACCCAATTAATCTAAACCAGCTAAAGTAGTCTAAATCAATTTAAACAATCTAAATCAGTTAAACCGGGCCTAATCAATTTAAATCAATTCTAATTTTAACCGTTTAACCAGCAATTCCAATTTAAACATCCATAAAATAATAACCAGCAACGATTAGCGAAAGACTTAACCAAACAATCTAAGTAATTCAATTGCAATACACTAGCATTCCAACAATATTCAAACCAGTCATTATCCGGAAATAGAAAAGCATCCTAACATATTTCTAGATTCCAGAACTAACAACCTAACAATGCAATAACATAAAATCAAGACACAACCAGCGAGCCCCTAGATAATTCCGCTCTCCACGCCTTGATTTCACGGTCAAACTTTTCATTTACCTGCGTTACAGAAAGAGATGCATAAGTATTTCCAAAAATACTTAGTGAGGCACTTAACCCAACTACTGGCTATACACACAAGCATCATTAAAACATATTCAGACAATAACCAGTCACAAACATCAAATAATCAATGAAACAACAACAGAAAACTCAAACTAACGAGCGGTGTCGATCGACATCCACCACTGATGTCGATCGACACTCGCGACCATCCTCGCGAGAAAGAGAGTTGGTGTTGATCGACACCCACCCTTGGTGTCAATCGACACCGAAGCCCTAATATCGCTTCAGTCGCTTCTCATCGATGAATCTCCTTCCCTTTCAACTCCATGGCCGAAAAGACACTCCATAAGGCTCGTCCAGAGACATCATATCATAGAAAGCAAGCATACGAACAAGGAAATCAGTCAATAATCATAGAAATCATCAAAACATGCATTAAAATTGCTTAGATAAGCCTTGGTCCTGCACTCAGCTCTTTGCAAAAGATGAACAGTCACGAAAATAGAGCAACCAAGGAAGAAACATGCTCTCCTATTACCCAACACGACGTGTAACACCTTACCCCGTGGGACCCTTTGCCATGTGGCACACTCCGCCACATGGCAACCTTACAGCTTGCAGCGCATCGACCCTAATCTTTTTCTTGTGGGCTCAATCTGCACAGTCCTCTAGCCCGCAGCTCTCAGGCCCACCAGGTAGGTTATTGGTGCGCCTGGCGTTCCTCGAACCCAGGTCCTCACACTCTTTTGAAAACCGCACCACATATATAATCAATATTATTTCAGTTCATTTGCGTTTTTATTATCATTTATTATTATAAAATAAATAAAAATATATGTTTGTATATTGAACATTTATAACTTTTTATTTTATTATGAACTCTACAAAAGTAATTTTCATTTTTTTAATATTTTCATTCTCACATTCTAATTATTTTAGTACAAATTTAATAAGATTTCAAAGTAATATTGGTTACGTTTCATAAATAATATATGAAAACATTTTATTACTAACCCTTTTAAAACATTATAAATTTTTGAATTCAGTATCTCAATAGTAGTTATTATAAAAGGTGTACTTTTGAACATAGATAGATTAGGTGATTTCAAAATATCATTTTCATATACTTTTTAAAAAAAATACCCCATTTTCAAACTTTATCAAAAAACCACTAAAAATGTTGAAATTTATCCAAATATGTGTGTAACCTTATAAATATATACACAAATTACCTTTGTATGTGTATAAGATTTTATATATCTTTCATAAATAACGTAAAAATAACTTATAAAAACCTTATGAACCCTTTTAAAAACCTTTAAAAATTTATAAAAACGATTTAAAACCATTTCCAACATTTTAAAATATTTGTATTGAATCTCTCATTAGTAGTTATAGAAGTACCTTTTAAACTATATAAAACTTTACAATTTTTAACATTTAAACAGGGGTATTTTTGAAAATGGATAGATAAAGAGAGATTTTTGAAAAGGGCATACCAAAAGAGGTATTTCTCAAAATTCTCTAGATAAAACGCATTTTTAAAAATGGTAGTTCCCAAAATTTCTCATTTACTAAAATGTATAATATTTTAACTATTTGAATATTGATAGGGGTACTTTTAAACCGCTTGTTGTAATTTTTACCATTCAAATATTTGAACTATTTGGATATTTTAAGGTTCATAAATATATAATATTATTAATTATTAATACAAAATAAATAAATAATATATAATTATACTATTTATTGATAAAATATTATGAAATCCGCACCAAATATTTTTTCATCAATCAAACATTATTTTGTACCGCATATCTTGTATTAAACACACTTGTCCCCCAAATACTTGTATTCCGTTTATAGCGCAGTTGAACCGTACCGCACTATCAAATCGCTTATCCGGTACAGCTCAATCCGTTGTTTATCATTCGGACCCTAAGTCTCTAGTATACGTGGGGGTTTTCAAAATTTCACCCGCGTGCATGCTAGTTTCAAAACTTGCACTGAATGATAAAATGAAATTTAGAATAACAACTAAAACTATACACGCTTTGTAACCTTGACATGTAGTATGGATACTGATCGTATGAATGTCTAGTGAATCAATCAAATATTGAATATACTCCATATATAAACTCAGGCTACATTATGAATTATAATTTGGTAAATTAGGACATAACGAAGTAATATCGGGGCTAAGGATCCATTGTAAATTTGTAATCATATAATGCTTATTAAATGGTAGTCAATATAGTCCTCCTCTTGATGCATACTTGGCACACTCCAAGTTTTTGCCTTTCTAAAAGGGAAACACATAACTCATATAATCAATTCTTGAGAGGATGAAACTTTGACCAGAAAACAAATCTGATTTATAATTAAATTTTTTCATTATGATGAGCTTTTCTGATTCACCTATCTTGCAGCATTTATTGAGCGATCAAAGACACCAGTTTGAACGTACCGAAGCCGTATCTCTCAATCACGCTGTTGTTGTCTTTGCAAATATAAGTGTGCATGGGCGAGAAACACAATCTTTGACCAACGCATTAAACCATTATTGTTATCTATTTAAACAATCAATTATTTTATTATATAATTTCGGATCAGTTTGTATATATTCGAAGAAAAAAAATAAACAAATGTTATAGATTTTGTTTTTAATATTTTTGGTATTAATTACCGGGTAAATTCGATTACAAAATAATGAATAATTTAGTATTGATTTTTGGTATTTTAGATATTATCGAGTAATTCAGGTATATTAAATTAGTCTTATCTATAAATATTTGGTTCTTGATTGGTTTTTCTATCAATTATTTGAATTATTTGAACTTAAAAATTGTCGAAAGCGAATCCAAAAACTTAATTGCTATAATATCCGAATGAATTCTTCTAATTACTAAAACAACCCAAAATATTTGAACCAACCAAAACATAGCCAAAATACTCATACCTCTTTGATCGCATTATTTTTTTGTTAAATCTAATTACTAGGCTTTAGTACATCTCAATTAAACTTACGTGCAATTCACTGTCATAATTAGATGCGGCATGTATGTATAAAATACAATATAACTTTTCACCATTCAGTATATATATTGAATGGTGAAAAGTTATAATATTATATTTTGACTATACAAATCTAATTAC